GACCAGGAGATGCGAACTGGAGAGCTAGATTTGAGGCTTGGGGGCCCGGCAACTGCTCAACTCGTGGACCACAGCGCCACCTGGTGGTTAGCTATAGAACCTTCAGCTGGAAGCCAGCGGTTCCTACCCACCAGTCAGCAAACCCCGTTCCTAAAAGGCTCTAAAGGAAATATTTTTCAGTCACAGGAGCCAAACAGTCCGTTTCAAAGACAGTTCTTGCGTTATGAGACAAAACTATCTCCAAATGTTTCAAGAAGTAGGGACACCATGTCCGACTACAGGCAAACACTAAGGAGGGGCCAGAGGAGATGGCTCAGGGAGTAAGGTGCTTGTCATGCAAGCTGAAGGTCCTGACTTCTATCCCCAGAACCCATGTAAAACATCAGGTGTGGTTAATTCCAGCTCTGGGGCTAAACCAGCAAGCAGAGAGACCACTCCTAGTTGAGAGCGTTCCTTGCGCCCGTATCTCTAACAGAAGAGAGGCGCCCTCTTCTGGCCTGCTTGGGCACCAAGGGAAGGACGCCTAAGGTTAACCTCTGGCTCAACACACACCTGCACGCACTTATACGCACATCGCACACCTGACCGTCCTTATGCGCACCTGCGCACACACAGAATTTTATGGGTCTATGAATGTCCAGAAAACATTCAAAAAGCTCGTAAAAAAACAAACCAAAACAAAACGGGGGGGGGGGGGGGGGGTAAGAACAGTCACCAGATGCAGGAGTTTGAAGCTCATTGCTTAGTGCCTGGTCCCCAGGTGGTGCTATTGAGTTGGGCCTGGATCATGGCAGAACTCACCCTTCTGATGAGTTAATGCATCCAGGCTGAATCCAGACTGAATTGCTGGGGACTGCTTGGAGGTGGCATGTCACTGGAGGTGTATTTTTGAAGTGTCCCAGGCCACTTCCTGTTATGATTTGCACCTGAGGTGCGCCCCCAAAGGCCTTCTGCTGAAGCCTGTGGTGCTATCCAGAAGTAGTGGAACCTTTGAGGGGTGGAGCCCAGTGAGATCACAGGGGGCTGGACCCCAGTAAGCGATTAGAATCCTTATCCCTCTCTCCTCCCAGCAGGCCTTGCGGTGAGATGCTCTGCTCCACCACACAGCCCCCCATGACATCCTCGCCCACATAATCCAGAACCTGGAGCTGGTGACCATGGGCTGCAACCTTAGAAGCTGTGAGCCTGCAATTCCGGTTAATAATTTCATCTGAAAATGGCTAAAAGAAAGGATTTCACATATTCCCACCACATAATATATCTAAACTGATGGCTATGGTAACTCACCCACTTCCCTCACTTCTCGGTGAGCTCAGGAAGAGCAAGTGCGGTCACCACAGGCTTCCCTAGAGAGCACAAGTCAGTATTTGTGCTTTCCTGAGGGGCTGGGGATGGAGCCTGGGGCTGGGCAAGCACCCTACCGCTCCCATACACAGCCCATCAATGTAACTTTAAGAAAAAAGTGGGTGGGGCAGCTGGAGAGAGATGGCTCAGTGGTTAAGAGCCTCGTGGCACACACCTGTAATCCAGCACTTGGGAAGCAGAGGCAGGAATATCAGGAGGTCAAGGCTAGAATAGGAGGGAAGGACAGGGAAAGGAGGGGAGAGAAAAAGAAGGGAGAGGAGAAGGCAAGTAAGGATGTTCTGATATGGCTATTCCATAGCCCAGACTGATCCAGCCAGAGATGACCGTTCTCACACTTCATCCCTAGGAGCCCCCTACATCAATGGCCACATAGGGACAGGGATTTGATTCCAGTTAGGAAGACAGCAAGCTCCGGGGGTGGATGGTGATGGTGCGGGAGCCTCCGCTGGCTCAGCTAGGTTCTCTGTGTCCTTCTCCATTGCAAAAGCAGAATCAATAATCAAACATAACACAGAGACCCCTTGCTCCAAGAGATCAGTGTTTAAAAAAAAAAGATTCAGGAAAGCGGAAGGCCCACCAGCTACAAGGGCTGTGAGCATCGTGACTGATGCCGTCAGTGTGATGATAGCACGGGGGGTGGGGTGGGGAAGTCGTGTGCTTTAGAGACGTAGACTGGGCTTATAAAGCCAGCTAAGAGCTGAGATCTGCTCTACGATTCTCAGAAAATAAGAAAGAGAAGAGTGGCTTTGTCACACAAACGCGGAAATCCTGGCAACCATAGAATGTGATCATGGACTTGTGGGGTTTGGGTGACTTCTACTCGAACATGTGCAGAGCGAAAACTTACACAGAGCGGTGTCCTAGGGGAAAGCAAACCCCAAGGCAGGGGGATGGACTTAGAAGCCGTGTCTTGTTGCAGTGCCATAATGCTCTGCGAAGACTTCGGCAGGAAAGGTGGGTCTCAGCTCCCTGTTCATAAGGGCAGCCCATCACCTCTACAGCGGAGCCTAAGGCAGATGCTCACACTGTGCCCAGCGAAGAGCAGAGAGAGATGGCTAAGGCCATGGTTCACACTGTGCCCCAGTGAAGGGCAGAGAGAGATGGCTAAGGCAGATGCTCACACTGTGCCCAGTGAAGGGCAGAGAGAGATGGCTAAGGCCGTGGTTCACACTGTGCCCCAGTGAAGAGTAGAGAGGGGTAAACTGATGTGTGAACTGGCACTCCATCTGCTTTCTCCATTTTATACAGTTTGGGGACCAATGAAGAGTCGAGAAAGTACCATCTGCTGAGGGCAGATCTTATGTTTCAATCCACAAAACCAGCATAACCACCCGGAGGTCTTTCTCTGATGTCTCCAGATTCTGTCAAGTTGGAAGTTAACATTAACCCTCACAGGAAGGCTTGGAGTCCTTGAGGTTTGGCCAAGACTGGAGGGTCACAAGTGTGATGCCAGCCTGTGTTATACATCAATATCTGCCTCCAGTCATAACTCAGCACTCTGGAAGCAGATACAAGTGGTGGTCTGTGAGTTGGAGGCCAGCCTGGTCTACCTAGCAGGTTCCAGGCCAGCCAGGGCTACATAGACTCTGTCTCAAAAAAAGCAAACAAAATGTCTACAAAATAGGTATTTCAAAATATTATGTATTTTATTGATGTCCTCCTTTCTAATTTTATTTTTATGTATATTACAATGCACATGCTAAGTTTAGCTTAACATATGTTTAAATAAGTAAAAGTAAATATGACAGGGGTTTGTCCAAAAATTGTCTTCATGACAAGGACAGAAAGCATAGCAGAAGAACACCTAACTAGAATCCCCCAGTGAGGGCCTGGGGGTGTGGCTCAGTGGTAGAGACCCTGCCTAGAATCCTCCAGTGAGAGACTAGGGACTTGGCTCAGATCACGCAGTAGATCAGGGACCAGGGATCAGTAAAGTCTACCAGCTATACTGTGGCCAACAGAAAGGGCTCACATTGGGGAGAAGTTGAAAGCAGCCTAGGCCAGGGCCGAGCCTGCACAGGAAGGCCAAAAGAGCTGAGCCCTGGGTCAAGCTCACGGCGGCTAAGTGAGTATTCAGTCTCATTATTGCACACATCCTTTTCCTGGGACCACAGTGTGTTTCAGTTCTTTAAACCACGTTCCTTGCACGGAAACAATGGCTCAACAGGTTAAGGCACTTGCTTCTAAAGCTGACAACCTCAGTTCAATTCCCAGAAGCCACACAGTGGAAGAAGAGAACCACTCCAGCAAGGAGTCACCTGACCTCCACCTGCGTGCCATGGCCCACCCCTCTCCATATGCACACAAAGCACTTTTCCATTCCTAAAAATGTTTCCTTGCAGCAAGTGTGCAGGAATACTCAGAGTCTCATTGCTTCTGAGAGAGCCAAGCAAGGGAGAGTGTGAATGGGGAGAGCTGAAGAGGAAGGGGTTGGGGAGAAGCCCTGGAAAGGTCCTATCCGGGCACCTATGAAAGGATGGATTGATGGATGGATGGATGGATGCATGGATGGATGGATTGACAGATGGGCTGAAGAGTGCATGAGTTGGACATGGGTGTGTGTGTGGAGGAGGGAGGGGGAAATCAGGGGTGCATGGGATGATATATGGATAGGACAGCTGATGCATGGGTAGACCACGGTCGGATAGTTGCTGCCTGTAGATGCTCAAATATGCCACCAGGTGTCGACATAATCTCTAGGACCACCTGAGAGGTCCCATGCAGCAGCCACTCCCCAGAAGTTATACTTCAAACCAGTTGCCACACGTGGTCAGGCCCTTGTATTTGCACACGCGCACCAGCACCCACTGGCTTCACCCAGCACCCCAGCCTCCTCCAGCAACAGAAGAAAACAGAGACAGCTGCAGAGAAGCAGGCTGACCCCACACTGAGCCTCTCTGAGACAGGCAGTGTGTGGAGATGGAGGGACCCCTTAAGACTTGAGCTGATGGTTTCTGTCCCACCAGCATCAGCTGCTTGTGCTGTTACTGGTGTTCAAATCACAGCCATCATTGTCAGCCCAGGAACCCTCCCCCGGCTTTGCACCTTTGGGGGAAAAACGTTTTTAGTAAGCCTTAGCAATCCGCCTAGAAAAGCAACTGGCAATGGAGCATCTCATCGCCGCTGGTTTCCACAACCACTGAAGGAACCTGGGAAGAGGTTTTCAGTCCCAAGCACCAGGTAGCTGCTCTCCCCACCCCATCCCAACTCCCCATCCCCCCAGACCCACTTGGGGATGACAAACCAAGTCAGGAAAGCACCACACTCTCCCAACCCAAGCTGGCCTCCCACTCTGCCTTCAGCGCAAAGGTCTATCCCTTGCTCTGGAAACTGCAGTGAGAGCTGATGGGGATTCTGGGGTTGCTTCTAGAAGGCAACATTTCTCAGCCTTTCCCCACCACATCCCCAGCAGAAGCATCTGTCCCCTCTGCCAGCCCTTTCTGGCTGCACTGCTTGCAGGAGACCTGCATCCTTCACAAAGCCGGCTCAGAGAATTCAAGGCAACCCACAGGTGGAATGTTGATCGCGACTCATAAGGGAAAACGTGAGTCTTCAGTAATCGCATAGCTTATCAGCACATTGAGCACCCCGACTGGCCTACGAGCCCACGAACACCCCGACCCCCACATACTTACTCCCACTCTTTCCTTCTGGCCTGAGGGGTGCTATGCATTTTGTGCGCTTGGTGGGCCAAGATGACATCCCGGTGGTCCACCACGCCACCACGCCGTTTCAGAGTTGGCCCGTCAAGGCTGCCGCTCATCTGTTGTGACCACGAGACGTGCAGGGGCCTGCGTGAGCCTGCCAGAGTGCAGTCCGCGCCTCGGCAGCTTGGGCGGTGGAGGACCTCATGACTGAGTGGAGGAAACATGGGGTCAGAGCCCCGGGAGGCCTTCGGCATCCATGGACCTCACTCAGAAATCCCAGGAGAGGAAACTGGAGGGAGAAGGAAGACGGGAAGAGCAGAGTGAGAGAAGCTACAAGGAAGCCAGGGCCACGAGAGCAGGTGTGGGCAGCAGAGGCCACCCCACCCTGTACCCGGAAGTTCAGCACCCCGGGCCTGGCTGCCAGGATTGAGTATTCCCTTGGCAACTAGGGGACAGGAAAGACACTTCTAGCAGTTGCCGGGCAACACAGGCCGTGGGTTGAAAGGCCACAAGGGTGTGGCTGATGCTGAGCACTTGGACCACCTGGCTCCAGATGCCAGCCAGACTGGGGTGGGTTGGGGTAGAGGCGTTTTCTCGCATCTAGATGTTTCCTTCTGCGGAATGGACCCTCTAGAGCCCCTACTTTTTGAGTTCTGTGAACTCCAGACCCCTGATGGCAAGTTCAAGCTCAGATGTGCTGGGCTAGACGTCTGGTCCCCATCTGCTTCCTTTTGGGGTGTAGAGAGCGCAGGGGGACCAACGGTTAGGTTTTTCATCTCATTTTTTTAATGTGTCGCCTGTGTTCATGTTCATGCAGTGCACATCGCACATGGACATGTACGCATATGTGTGTGGAGGCCAGAGGTCAGCCTGTTCAAGTCACCATTACATGGGCTGAAACATCCCAGCCACTCTGATGAGCACAGCGCTTTAAGACTGAGGAGGACAGGAGCAAGGTGGCTCACATGTGCAAGCCCAGCACTCAGGAGGCTGAGGCAGGGGAATGGAGAGCTTGATGGGCATCTGGACTGCACGGAAAGGCTCAGTGTGAAAACACGTGTCTTCTTTTCAGCCGCTGTTCGGGGAGGGAAGGCAATAAACTCTACTGCCACACCTATGAGTTGCTGGGGTCTCAAAACCAGAGGAACCGGGGGCTTAACATCTTTGTGGTCTCTCATTTACTCATTCAACAAACACTGAGTTTGTAACTGGCTCTGGGCTGGGTACTGGGGATGTGGCCTCTATGCTGTAGGTACACAGAGAAGCCGCTTCCCATGCAGAGAAGACATCCCAGGGAGAGAGGGACGGACAGGGACAGAATAAGGCAGGAGCAGAAGAGTACGATGGAGAGAATCAGCAGGGACAGGGTGTACCTTGGGCTGCTGTCAGCAAGGCCAGCTGTCCACTGTCACCCAGGACTGACAGAGACCCCAAGTCCTACAGAGGCTAGGTCTCCTTAGGGAAAAGGCATAGATTTACAGAGTGGAGAACACAGTCCTACAGACTCCAGTCTCTCTAGGAGACCTGGGACACAGTGGGGATGCTGTGAGTATGGTTGACATGCTGTTGTTTGGGAATAAGGACAAGGAAAATCATAAGTGTATGTTCAGGACAGATTCGCCATGGGGACGGAGAGCTTTCCCCATCCACAAGGGCTACCGTATTCCCTGGCCTTTGTCGAAGCGACTGGCCCTTATACCATGCCAAGAGCACAGAGCATCAGTGGGCAGGGGAGGCTGTTGTTTGAGACGCTCTCCTTCTGATACCTGGGCTGACCTCCAGTCTGCAGGGATCCTCCTGGGTGCTGGGATTACAGATGTGTGATTCTTCGGCTGGCTTTATGCAGGGCTGGGGGTTGAGCATGCCTTGTGTATGCAGGGTTGGGGGCTGAGCATGCCCTGTGTATGCAGGGCTGGGGGTTGAGCATGCCTTGCTTATGCAGGGCTGGGGGTTGAGCATGCCTTGTGTATGCAGGGCTGGGGGTTGAGCATGCCTTGTGTATGCAGGGCTGGGGGGTTGAACATGCCCTGTGTATGCAGGACTGGCAGGTTGAGCATGCCTTGTGTATGCAGGGCTGGGGGTTGAGCATGCCCTGTGTATGCAGGGCTGGGGGTTGAGCATGCCTTGCTTATGCAGGGCTGGGGGTTGAGCATGCCCTGTGTATGCAGGGCTGGGGGTTGAGCATGCCTTGTGTATGCAGGGCTGGGGGTTGAGCATGCCTTGTGTATGCAGGGTGGGAGGTTGAGCATGCCTTGCGTATGCAGGGTGGGAGGTTGAGCATGCCTTGCGTATGCAGGGCTGGGGGCTGAGCATGCCTTGTGTATGCAGGGTGGGGGGTTGAGCATGCCTTGTGTATGGAGGGTGGGGGATTGAGCATGCCTTGCGTATGCCAGGCAAGCACCACACCAAACGGAGCTACATCCCCAGCTTGTGGATTACCTATTTAAAAGGCCCTTTCTCCAAATGCAGCCTTGTCTGAAGGTACTTGGGATTACACTTGAATATATCAATTTCAGACAGCACTCAATTTAGCCTTTACAAAGTCTTGACAGGATGTGTTGGGAGCCAGTTACGCATTAGGTGAAGCCCAGAGAAGGCTGCTGTGGCGGTGACCACCAAGCAGGGACCTGAAGGTGATGCAGAAATCACGCAGGCATTTGAATGAAAGGCTTTCCATCCCTCCAGAGCAGCGTGCAAAGGCCCTGAGGCAGAACTGTGTGGGGCTTGCTCACAGGCCAAGCAGGGGCTCATGGGAAGGCCTAAGTAAAGAGGAAAGTGGAGAATGTGAGCATGGAAGGTGATGAGGAGATCCTTCAGGGCCTTGCGGACCATACGGAAGACTTCTCTAGTTCTCAGAGTGCTGCAGGACGTGCTGTTTGGAATCAATTCTTTCCTTGTGGTGTCTTTTCAAGCCCAAACTCATTTCCCCACCTGAGCTTCTAAGAACCAGTTAGAAACTTGGCACAAGCTAACGCAATTCGGAAGCTTCTCGCAAAGACACAAGCAACTCCAGCATCTATGCATGTTCCATACATAAATGCAGAGAACAAAGCAGCCCCAGATCACAAGACCTTGCTCCTTGCTATTCACCTTCTTAAATTCTATCATACTCCATGACAAGGGCAGGAACCCTCTAGTCTCTTCAAATCCTGGAACCTGTGGGGTTTACTAGATCCATCCTTCCTGTGCCTTCGTGTTTCCCTCTCTTGCCTCTGCACCCTCATTCTAAACTGTGAGCATCTCTGAAGGCTTTGTGTTTGAGTCAAATACTTTCCCACTGCCCCCCACCCCAAGCACTATTCCTTTAATAGCCACCAACTGTTTTGGAGGGGGTATAGACCTGTCTCCCTGACCCCTGCGACAGTGTGCTGTTTTACAAACATGTGACTGAGCATGAGAGGTGGGGGCGTGGACCTGTCCCACTGACCCCTGCAACGAAGTTCCAGCCCACTGGCAGAATTATCTGTCCCTAACTAACCTCTCTGTACACACACAAAAGGAAGACTCTCACAGGTGTAGTGTGCTGTGGATTACGTATCTATTCCTGAACTAACAAAGAAAAGACCAGGAGCTAGGGAGTGTGGCTCAGTCACAGACAGCCCCCAGTGAGGGGCTAGAGACTTGACTCAGAGGTAGAACCCCTGCCTAGCATGCGCAAACTTCCAATTCCAGCCAAAATGGGAGGGGAAAGAGTAGATGGTGGATAAATGGGACATCCTCCAGTGTTCCTAGGAACAAGTTCACCTAGAGACGTCGTGAGGCATCCTCCAAGCCCTCACGTGGCATCCAGACCCTTCTTCAGGAGAAGAGACATGGTGCACCCGGAAGGCCATCCGCCCATCTTTACCCAGAATGTAACAACTAGCTTGGGACCCTGCACACTTTCAGCTTCCGAGCCTCGGAATCAGCACAGGACCATGATACGAATGGGGTCCCTCAGTGTCCGCAGGAGTTTGCTCCCAGGACCTGTGTGATCGCAATGCACGAGCATCCAGTCCTCTCCACAAAGCCCACTTGGCCTGCACACAGCCTGCATTCTGACACGGGTGGCATGTCCATTGCTGTTAGTGTGCATGGCTTGGGGAAGAGTGATGGAGACAGAATATGTCCATATCCACCACCGATGCCATTTACGTTTAAGTGGGCGGCATCAGCGGAGATGGCACAGCAGTTGAGAGTGTTTCTCTTCCCAGCAACCATGCTGGAGGGGTGGCTGCCTGTAACTCCAGCTCCAGGCCCCTTCTAGACTCAGCAGACACCTGCGCTCACATGTGTACGTATTTGCCATGCTCCCCCAAATACATAATTTAAGGTAATAAAACAAATCTTTAAAAAAATAAAAATTTTGTATGGGGAGGTGATGCCTCATGCAGTCAGAGTTAGCCTTGAACTCATTGTGTAGTTAGGAATGACAATGAACTCCTGATCCTCCTGCCTCTGCTCTCAAGTGATGTTAATCCAAAACAGGTTAATCCTCCTGCCTCTGCTCCCAAGTGATGGGGTTAAAGGCAGGTTCCAAAACACCCGGTTTACATCGTACTAGGGATGGAACCCAGCACTCACCACTGAGCCACGACCCAGCCTTTTAAAACATTTTTAGTTCATGATTGCCTGGTTCCAAAGACATGGAAGCTGCCAGCAAGGAGGGCGTGCCAGATGCAGAATCCTGAGCCTTCAGGGCGGTCTGGCTCTGGAGACAGGAGCAACATTGGGCTGTGAGGAATGCTGGGTAGCCCTGGAGTTTGGATGTTGTGCAGGAAGCGTAAGGCTCCTGCAGGGTCTGGGAATCGCTGTCCCAGAAAGGAGGCGTCCCACCCCCATGAGCTGCTCAGCAGCCCCAGCTGTCTTGTGTATACACACAGCAGACAAGCAACCCCTGGCCACCAATAGGCACTCCGCAGCTGGAGCTGGTACAGGCACCTGAGGACCTGGCAAGCAGGTGTGCCCATCTCACCGACTGTGCTTGTCCGACAGAGAAAAAGACAGAGCACATGGGACATGCCTCACCTGGGCGCAGCTGGGTGTGAGAAGGGACAGTGGAGAGAGAAGATAAGCTAGAATCCACTGCATGAATGTGACAGCCTCACAGGCCAGACCCCATGTGCCCGGTATAGGTAGGGTTTATTGCCTGCCCATATGATGTTAGACACACCTGAGATGGGGCTGATGC